TTTTTTTCTATTTTACAAAAATCCCTTAAAATATCAGTCATCCGGATACATAAGTTTCATTCGGATACATTAATTGTGATACATTATAAAACTTATTTGTTGCGCTTAATATGGAATATTAACGTAAATTTGATTATTTTTCCCACAAATCATGCAGAACTGACTTTCTTTTTCACAAATCACGCAGAACTGATTGATATCAATCCATTTCAATCTGTAACAACTTCACAAAATTCAAAAATCAAATTTTCATCTTCTCTATCAATTCGAAATCTTGAATCTCAAATCCGTCATTGTAGATGATTGAACAAACGATTCATGGTTTCAAATCATCAATTCGAAATCGTCGAGTATAAGAAATCGTTCAAAGCATAACAAAGAGATGAAAACTTCTTTTGGGTGGTTTTAGCAAATGGGTTGAATCAATTTCCAAGAAACAATTTTGTAACAAAAAAACCAACAATCTGATTCTCCTTCTCCTTCTCAACATATCGATAATGTATCAAATTGTTGTTGCATTTGTGGTAGTCCATTGGGTGCACAATAAAAACCTTGCCAATACATTGTCATAGCAAGTCTAGCAGCACCGACATTTGGAGGAGGACGAGATGGACCCCAAGATCTCATATTAGTATTAGAAGAATTTAGTTGAGTAGCCCCAATACTAAATGAAGGGGTCTGACCTATATGTATCAGGAAAAAAATCTGAAAACAAAAATGGAAGAAGACAACAATGGTGAAGACAAAACCATACCTATTCAAATGTTTGAAATTGATTGACTTGAGAGAGAATTCTTCTGAAAATCAAATTAATTTGAAAATTGTAACCGCTAAGAATGTGGAATGAATTTAGGGAGATAAAAGAGGAGTGAAAAGGAGAATGGTAAACGTGGGTTTTGGCTGATGGATCTTATGTATCCGAAAGTTTTAAGAATTGAAAGAAATAAGGGATTTATGAAATATTTCCAAAGGTAGGAAAAAATGGAGAATAAGGTAAGTAAAGTTGTGTATATAAGTGACAAGAGAGAGTTGCTCGGATGGTAAGCACCCCTCACTTCCAACCCGAAGGTTGCGAGGTCGAGTCACCAAGGGAGCAAAAGGGGTGGGAGCTCCTCGGGAGGGTTAAAAAAAAAATTGTATATATAAGTAATTTTTCCTATATTTTATCCTATTAAAGTTTTATCCCATTATAATTCTTCTATGTGATCCAACTAACCCTTTTCCTAATAAAAAAAATTTTGGTCGAACTTTCCCTAATAATTATCATCTCTTCTATATTACAATAAGCTTCAACGGATTAACCAAAGAAATAATGCTCTAATAGTCCCAGAGGGTTACATGGTAGATGAAGTCGTTGTTATTTGGATCTGGTAATGCACCAATAAGAGTTGCTGAGCTATTTATGATGTGGCTTATATATTCATAATTATTTGCTATGTGCTCTGCATGTAATTAATATCAGCCATTAGTTGTTGTTGTGTATCAGTTGAACAGTAATTCTCAAATGAGAATTAATTAGGGCCATGTCAAAATCAGCATGTTCATTTGGTGAACTGAAAGAGCAAAACATTTTACAACTATCATCATCTCAAACCTTGAAATTTTGGTCATCTTCAAAGACTATTTTTACTATAGTTCCATTGCAAAAGTCTATCACTAAATGAAATATAAAAAAAAGGAATTAAAGCCTGTCAGGCATTACTCATAGTGATAAAATATTACTCATTTATTTTCGTAACCATTCGATATCTGAAACCACTGTCGGACTAAGGCCCCAGTTTTCATTAAAATTAAGACATCTGAATCTGAATGCACATTTGAATAATAAAGATCTTGTCCGTAGGTTTGAACACTGAATAAGACGATTTGTTTTTGAACACTTGAATATGTTTAAATTAAATGGTAGTTAAATATTACATTAAAAAATATTAGGAAAAAACGTCATTCTTTGATAAACGTTAAGGAACTTAAGATATTTGAATTATAAATAAATATTTTAAGTTTGATAAAAATAAAATGAAACTACATGGATTACATATATAAATTATAGTAATAAAAATAATTATTTAAAAAATATATAGTAATCGTTTTTTTAAAGAAAAAAATCAACACAAATTAATCTTCAATAAATAAATGAAACATCTCTATGTTCCATAATGTGTTAACTCGTGTACTCTTTTCTACAATAAATAATGAACATGATACATTTAAAAGATTTTAAATAAATTTATAAAGGCATTATAATCCGTTTCAACAACACATATTAATAAAGTTAATTTGCACTTTAATCAAATAAAAATTTTACAATAAATTTTATCAATTCTTGATAAACAAGCATCATGAACAAAAATTAAAAGTTAAGGAAATAATTTGGATAACTTAAGTTGGAGGGTGAGAGATGCTTGGATTTTTTTATGGAGCACAATTTTTTTCGAAAAATAAAAGTATCTTTAAAAGAGTTTGAAGTGGAATAAGACTCTGTTACAGATCTGATTCATTCAAACACATTAAGAGATTTTTCAGTAAAAGAGAACAAGCGCAGTTAATGGTCTAATGTCTGAACCATTCAGATTCAGACCTTTATTAAGTACAAATAAATAAGGCCTAATTCTAATTTAGGAATTGAGTTTGTTGGGTCGGATATATGAGTTAGGTAAAGAATTATATAGGGAGAAAATTTTAATAGAAATAAAATTATATCCACGTAGGCGTCATGTCATACAATATGGGTGGAAACATGAGAGTTAACATCCCAAGCTTAAATATGTGTTTAAAGTTGAATGATAAATGCAAATGTATATAAAAAATTATGACAAAGAATAAATATAATTATTTTTCTAAGAATATAAAGATAAATATGACCCTTTTCCGTAAAATGACTTGTTGACATTTTTGGCCTGGAAATGAAATTGGTGGCATTAGGCAGGTGCAATACTTTTTCATGTAAAGGAACATTTATGGGACGGAAAGAGGGGCCATTTCAGGCACTGTTGCACATGTCCTGCCCAATCTTTTTGGAAATAAAGTGAAAATGGAAAGACTTTTCATTTGTGATTTCATATTCATTATACATAAAATGGACCATCACATTTTGTACCATTTCTTTCATTTTCTAACATTTGCTTTCACATTCTCATCCCATAGGACTGCATGCAACTATAGTTGGGAAATAAATAGGTAACAAAGATAATAATATCCACCAAAACTAATAAGAATAAGAGAGTAACAAGGATATCGAGTAAACGTAAAAATATAATATTATCTTTCTTAACTATTCTAATTAATACCTCCTACCAAACTATTCTAATTGATTTTTCAAAGACTGTTGCACCCTAAAACAGTTGTGACATGATTTTATTTTTTTAATTATAACCGGACAAGTTCCTGAAATATCTCCATTAATTTTGATTTTTCTTTTCTTTTCATTTCTAAGTCATGATCTTATCCTTCAAAAATATGGAGTGTATAACGAATTCAATTACAATCATTTATTCATGATTTAGCTAAGTTTTGAGTATATACTTATGAATATATATGTGTATAATGTATAATTGTTGTAATCAGTTAATAGATATGATTATATTAATTTCAGGCCAAAAACAACAAGAAATGACCCAAAAGATGGATTGGAACGCAAAGTAAAGTATCCCAAATCAAGATCGAGCCAAAGAGACTGCAGAATTAGAGTCAGGGGTGCTTGCCTCGCGACCGCACCTTTTTCTCGAGATTTTGAAACCAAAATTTTATGCGATGAACTTGTGATGCACGAACAAGGAAGTAGGAGTTCGAGATAGACCCCGCGTTGTGGACCCTCTTCCCTGCGATGGGCCTCGCGCCACAAACCACCTATCTGACAAACCTGGGTGCATGGTCAGAGTTCAACAACTGTTCTAATTATGTGGCCAATTCAACTCATGTGTTTTTACACCACGCGTACAAATTCAACTATATCGTTTCAAGGGTAAACACATACCCTTCATCAATATATATATAGATATGTAATGCCATGGATATTACCAAGGGTCTAAGATGTATGAACTAATGATGTGAAAGAAATATTTATACAATCAATGCTAAGTATAACAAAATATAAATAGCTTAAATACCAGAAGCATATCATTACAAATTAAATAGCACTATATGTGTGTGTGTTTATGTTAAAAAGAGAGTATTGATTTTTGCAAAAAAAACTTGTCGCCCTTGTGATCAATTGACACCTGGCAGCCATGTCAAACATTGCACCTTGTGAGTTGTGGGGTTAAATAGTCAAAATCTAACTAAATATTGTTCGTCTTAAAATATAAAATAATAAATAAACTTAACACTTGGACCCTACGTGATAAATAATTGCTGTCCTATTTTCTTTCCATTGTCCCATTTTTTCCCAATTGGCAGGTACACCTAAGAGATATATAATAGACAAGTGCCAACCTGCCACTGCTGGATAGATAAAAGAGAGAACAGTAATTTACTGCTTTCCTGGTACCCTTTGTTTTTTTCTTTTCTTGTTAGAGTTCGACTATTCTAGATTCACGTTAGATAGTGCCCCATTTAGGAGGTAACACCCTTTATCATAGATTTTTTCATACCACAGCTAGAATTTGAAACTTCTAATTTAGGAAAAAGTAGTTTCATCCATGGGTCACACTTCACACTTTGAGGGGCGGTGCGTGCATTCACTTCTTACTGATTTTATGACATTATCTGTCAAGGTCCCAACTATGTGATACCTCAAACGTAAATGTGTTCCCATAATTGTCTAATTAAGAGTGGAATCTCACGTGATAATTTCATGAAAGTTGCCCACTTTAAATAAATATCTTTAAAGACGTGTAGGACTAAAATGAGGATGGGAAACAAGCCAAGCTAACATTTTCCTCCAAAATTTGAAGGCATATCAATGCATGCTCATCAATTCACCAACCCCTAAAATTAAAGAAATCACAGCTAGTTCTTGCCCCCTCTCTGTTTTTTGTCCCCTCATAATACAATACAATACATCTCTTCTCATTGCCCCCTACCAACAGCCTATAACACATACATTCACTAAATCCATCACAAGAAAATCAAATCCTTCTAGTAATTAAGCTAAGAAAATGATGAAAACACTACTTCTTCCTCTTTTTCTCCTCCATCTAATTTCATCAATTATAACCACATCTTCTTCTTCTGTTAGTGACATTGTCCGCTCATCTTGCGTGCACGCCAGCTATCCGACAATTTGCATCAGAACACTCTCTTCCTACTCTGGCTCTGCTATTAACACCCCACAAGATTTAGCTCAAGCCGCGGTGAAAATCACCCTTTCCCGAGCACACAAAGCGTCTGGGTTCCTGTCTCAGGTGAAAGTAGACAGCAAAAGAGAGAAAGGAGCATTGAGTGATTGTATCGAACAAATGGGAGACTCGATGGAGGAGCTGAGGAAGAGTTTGTCAGAATTCAAACATCTACGCAGGGGAAATGCATTCAAGTGGCAAATGAGCAATTTGGAGACGTGGGTCAGTGCTGCTTTGACAAATGAAGATACATGTCTTGATGGATTCAAGGAAATTGATGGCAAAATCAGGTCTGATGTGAAACGAAAGATTACAAATGTTGCTAGAGTTACTAGTAATGCACTTTACCTTATCAATCGACTTGATGATTCTCGAAACAAAATTCCTCATCCTTGATCATTAATTCGGTTAATTAACATTAATTACCAGGAGAAACAATCACCCTTCCACAAATGCTTCTTCTTTTTCTGTGTTAACTATGTACTACTATTTTATAAGTTAAACCAGTGTTATTAATGGTGCAATCCTAAGGCAAGAATTGTCTAAATTCCAGTTTGGCCTTGTTCTTATTTGATTTTACGCGACAAACTTATCTCATTCTTGCCCGTAGCTCAATAATACTGTTTGTTTGACATTTTTAGCTTCGAGTTGTTTGGTGCCAAGTATAAACTATAATACTTTCAGGGATAAAATGCAAAATTATTTTATTTTGACTTGATTGGAAGTATTAGGCAGTATTAAGATAAGTGTGAAATAACTTATTCCGAAATAATTAGTCTTGAAATAACTTCTTCCTATTAAACGAATTGGATTTTGTCCCAATTTTCAACATGTTCTAAGATGGGATGGGCAGGTGAGATTTAATTGATGAGGAAAATTAGGGGCCATTTTATGGATATAGCACAGATACGGTGTCGGTGTAAATAATTTAGATGTTTATACAATTATACCAGAAAATTAGACGAAGAAGTTAGAAAAGAGAGCCTTGAATTTCAACCCAAAGTTGGAAGTGAGGGGTGCTTACCATCCGAGCAACTCCCTCTCGTCGTCAGATTAGTTCATATTCCACCACATGTAAAAAAAAAAACTTAAATTCGTCAAATAATACATGAGTACCTACTTCCTTTCTCTTAATTTACGTGCACTTTTTAGATAGCGTTTTGCCGAAGACCGAAGTTCTCAAATATTCTTAGCAATTCATATTTAGGTCAAGTTTTTGGTGAGATTTCACCATTTGTTTGGCCTCAAATTTTTTCAAATAAATTTGACTATTTCAAAAAATATGATTTATATCCATAAGTTCTAAAAATTATTTAAAATACTCATAAATTTATATTATCATTTTATAATGAATATGTTCCGTTAAAAAATAACCTTATAATATAATTAATGACAATCAACAATAACAACATAACAATATAGGCAAGACAATAAATTAATCATATATTCAAACTTGTCACTGATTCAGTTATAATTATAACTCATTAAACACAAATTGTTCATTTCTCTCAATTTATCACTCAAATTAGAACTCAAACTTTTCCGAAGGAGGTAATAACAAATATTATTTGGAATTAATAAATAATGAGTATTTTTTATAAAATATAAAGTTTGGAGTAATTTTTAAATTTTTTAAAATTCCCAAATACTAGTTTTTTCTAGTATTTGAAAACTTGGAATACTTGACAAATGTCAAGTTATATGACCAAATACCACTTCCCAAGTATTCTTGGGGCCAAAAAATAAATTTGACTAAAATTTGAAGTTAAATTAGACAAAATCAATATTATATTATAAAAATTACATATTCTAAAATTATATAAAAATTACTATAAAATTGTATTTTTCTTGTGTTAAAACGATTAAAAACACTATTTTATAATGTTGATAAAAACTTATTAAATTTAAATATCAAAAAATAAAAAGTGTAATATAAATTTATACAAATAGAGTATAACTTTGTCTTGTCCAAAATAATTGATGTTTTAGATTTAGGCACACCAATTAAAGGAATTCACTTACTCGTAAAAAATAATAGGAGTATTGATATATAGGTGAAAGAATGTACCATATAAGGTTGGTGCGAGTAATGATAAAGTGGCTATATAGTACATATTTTATGGTTGTCAATTGTGAAATAAATGTTAAAGTTGTTGGCAGCTAATAAAAATATTTTTTAATTAGCGTTATTGTGGTCAGTCTCGATCACTCAATATAGCGATGAAAAATTATTTTTTTAATCAAATATTAAAGTAGTAGTAATAAATTTGGTTGATAAATAAATTTGATAAAAAATAACAAATTTGGTGAATATAAATGATAAAGTAAGAATTGATTTAAAGTAATATAAATTTTATGTTGGTAAGAATAATAAATTTTAAAAAGTAATGATATGATTATAAATTTTAGGGAAAATTAGCAAACTAGTCACAATCCCTACCTTAATTAGTAAAAACATCTATACTTTAAAATAATTATTTAAAATGTCAAAATGTCAATATTTTAAAAAATAATTTGTATTCAAATATTATTACTTGTCTTTCCTTTTATTTCTCAAAACAGTTCAACATGAAATACATCCACTACTCATTTACACTTCTTCCTAGACTTTAATACCATTAAATTTATTTTCCATCTTTCATGTTTTCAATTTTTTTTCTCTTTCATCAACTTTTTAGTTTTCACCATTGTCCCCATCATTCACGTTTCTTTCATTTTTTTTCTCTTTCATCAAATTTTTACCATTATTCTCTCTCTCATTGTTGAAGAAGAACTAATTATTCAAGTTCATACCAATTTGTTCAGATCTATCAATTAATTAGAAATCTCTCAATTGATAAATGTATTTTCGAAGTCATCATTTATTTTGCAAGATTTCATGAGATTTTGTTTTCAAAATCACAAATTATGTTGAATTTTGGATTGTATGTATTACGAATTTTTCGTAATTTTTTTCGATTTTTATGTGAGTTTGATAACATACTCATCAAATATTTATGCATTTTGGATTTTTAGTATTTTAAACACTATTGTTCGATATTTTTGTGATATTATTTACATAATTGAGATTTAGTAGATTGTAATTTGTAGTAATCTATATTAGCATTCATACATAATATATTGTTTGATTTTTTAAATATATTCATATTTAATAATTTCGAATTTTGCTTATAGGGTTACTAATGCACAAGTGAATACATATTCAGATTTGCGTTTGGTGAAAAAACCCGAAAAAAGGAACATAGCAGACGAAGAAGAAAGAGAGAGTCAGAGAAGAAAGTTGCAAAATTGTATTCATACCAGAATAGTATCCATATTAATTTTTGTTTGTCAATTATTTTTCTTTTACTCATCATTTGTATTTTTATTAAGAACATTGTATTTATTTTTTAGTTTGTAGTCATTCAAATAGGTATGTCAAATGAATTTGTATTTCTTAAGCATAGATGTATCCTACTTTTTAACAATCAATTTGTAAAATAAATAGAATATTGTATCCTTCCTCAACAGATTGTATTATTTTCACTATGTATGCTATTTGTTTTCCAGAATCTTGTATCCTTATTTCTTTCATAGTCAATTTGTATTTATTTTTTTAGAATATTATAACCTTCCTCAACAGATTGTATTATTTCCACCATGTATGCTAAATTTTTTTTCAGAATCTTGTATCCTTTCATAAATCATATTCATATGTAATGATTAGATTATATTGAGATACAATCAGTAATATTTTTGTAATACAAATAAAAGAAAAATATATTTGGCAGACAAGTAATACAATTTGTAGTTTTCACTATGAAAGTAAAAAAAATCAATTTTAATTTGAATGGAGTGAGCACATAAAATATAAAAAGTATTGGTATACAATTATATTGAGAACATAATAAAAAGGAAAGTTTATCCAATCGGATGAAAAAAGGTTTTTTTTTTTTTTTTGAAATTGTAACTGATGAGAATTTTAAGTGATATGTTCCTTATTAAAAAAAATATTATCTCCCTTGATTTCCTCCTTTCTAAATAATTGTAATCTTGAAAATCAAACAAAGAAAAAATACATAAATCAAATACATAACAAACTAAAATATTGACATTTTAGATAATTATTGAAAGTGTGGCTAAGAAAACCTATTAAATGTCAAAATATTGATATTTTGAAAATTTTCCCATTTTATTTACATATGAAATAAATGGTTAATAGATATAAATGTGGAGTTGTTTTATTAAAATAGAAATTTGTGGATCAATTTTTATATTTCAGAAATCTCAAATCTTGATTTTTGGAGAATATGAGATTTTATCTCATCAGAGGTGAACCCAAGATTTGAAGAAAGGGGGGCACTGCTAGGAATGACTCAAGGGTAAGGCTAGTAATGACACAAAGGTAACGTTAACATTTTTTTGAGAAGTCATCATAGCATTTTTTGGAGCATGTTTTAAAATAACATTATTCATATCCGGAAGCATTTTTTCAAGCCAATCCAAAAAAACTAAAAAAGACCTTTATTTTTTGAAGACTCACTTTCATCATGACCTCGAAAAAAACAATCCAAATTCCAAGAGGAACCTTGCCACTTTAGTAGAAGCCTCTAAACGAATTTGATGCTCACTTCTTGTTTTCTTAGATTGTTTGTTAAAAGCAACTTGAATGGATTGAGATTGATTCTCAAAATTTAGCATCTTGTTGAAACACCTATTGTGGACGCTATTTACTTCACCAACATGTAAATTGAATCGTTCCAAACTATGATTTCAAGTCTTAAAACCAGTTTTCGTGAAAAAATCACCTGCATTTCTCTTTACATAGTCTATCCATCTCAAATCACAAGAAACAACAACAAATTCTTACACACAAAAAACGCTTAAAAAGAACTTACCAATTTATGCAAAGATAATAGGAGTTGGACTTTAATTATGTAGTGAGAATACTTGTAAATTGTAGATTTTCTAGCAGTCTTATATTTTGTTTAGAATTGTGTGTGATAGATTTTCTAGTAGTCTTATATTTTGTATTGAATTGTGCTAGGGCTTTTATTTGTTTTTAGTTAAGAAAGGGGGTGGGGCCAGATGAGGTGACAAAAACGAGTTTTAATAAAAGCAATTTTTAAAAAGGTTTAACTCTAAAGAAAAAGGCTGATTTTAAAGTTAAAAAAATGTTAACTTCCACGGGGATCGATCCGCGCGGCAGCACTGCGAGTGGGCGACTTCAACCAATTCACCCAGGCGACTTCTAATTATAAGGTGCACAATTAAATATATAATCGTTTTATCAATTATTTATCTATATATATATATATATATCGAATTTTTTTTAAAGTTATTGGGTGCATGTGAGTCTGCCCCTGCATCTTATGATATGCAATCATGAGATGAAATCAACGTGAAATCATATATCCAAATGTTAATCTCATCTCACGATTTTTACATCGTGATATAATATTGCATGACCAAACGTTTAATTAATGTCTTGACATGTGAAGTGGGTTGGAGTTGTTTCATTTACCACAAAAAATAAAGACACAAGACTGTACAAAATATCATATTGTAGGGGTCGTTTGGTAGAGTATATTAGAAAAAATAATGCATACATTAGGTGTGTGTATTAGTAATACCTTGTTTGGTACACTTTTTTATGTCATGTATAACTAATGCAAGCATTAGTTATACATTATATTGTGTATTACTAATACCAAGAAATTCTAGGTATTAGTAATACATAGCATTTTAACACTTGCATTAGATTATATAATTACAAAAGTACCCTCAAAGTCGTTTAAAAAAACATTTTCCATAGTACTTGTTTTAGAAACCTTTCATCTTCTCTGTACTTTGTCAATGGAAATTCAAGAGTAGGTTTCTTCTTCCTTTTGCTCAATCAAACATTGTTTGCTCATCTTTACAAGGTTAGTATTCTTATCTTTCATTAAAATCTATATTTTTCAACCTCTCTTTCACAATTTAAGTATAATTATTTCTCTATCAAAATCAACGATTTAGAATTTGCCAACCATTTTGGAATGCAATCAAAGTGTTTTGTTAATTTTAATTTAGCAAATAGTTGTGAAAAAGTTAGTCGTCCAAAGTTAATAGATTTGATGATGAAATTTAGGTTTAGCTTATTTTTTTAATATGCTTTGAGCTCATCTGTGTCACTCTTTATATGGTCGAAAATTAGGAATTTATGCACATAGATACTTATTTAAAAGCTTTATATGTATTCATTCTTATTGTTATGGCAAATATAGGTGTTATTATGGATCTTCAACCATTATCAGGTATTGAATATATTATTCTTGTGGAGATATTGTTTCAGCAAGTTCTTGTTCTCCTTATTTGTCTTTTCATGGCTAGTCATGGTCATTCTCTAAGAAAACGATGTCGAAACAGACGTGAGGTTAGGTATCGTATGAGTGTTCAAGTTCCGAAAATCATTTCTCACTTACACTATATCATAAATGATAATGGTGGTGTATGTATCGATAAGTTGAGAATGGATAGAAATGCCTTTCACACTTTAGTTCTCTTAACTAAGGATATTGGAGGTCTGACTGATAGTAAAAGTATGTCAAGCAGCGAAAAGTTAGCAATGTTTTTAAATATCTTGGCTCATTATGAGAAAAATAGATCCATCAAGGTTGATTATATTAGATCGGGATGGAGCGTAAGTCAGGCTTTCAATGAATGCTTGAGTGTTATTCTCAAACTAACTCCATTGCTACTTGTTAATCCTAAAGCGGTACTTGAGGATGAGATTGAAGATCGATGGAAATGGTTTGAGGTAGGTGAAATTGTCGTTTAGCTTCTTTTAACTTATATACAAAACATGCAGTTTTAACAGTTTTAGAAAAATATTATATATTTTGAGATAACACTATAATTTATCTTAAAGGGTTGCTTAGGTGCACTAGACGGTACTTACATTCCCATTAGAGTTCCAATCCAACACAAACCAAGATATAAAACAAGAAAATGAGAGATAGCAACTAATGTTTTGGGAGTTTGTGATAGAAATCTCAATTTTACTTATGTGTTACCTGGATGGGAAGGTTCAGCTGCCGATGGTCGTGTATTACGAGATGCTATAGTACGAAGGAATGGTTTGAAAATTCATGAGGGTAGGCCTTTTATATGCTTTCAAGTTACATCATAGAAAGAATGGTACTAGTAACTAAATTATATGTTTATATTATATGTAACTATTATTTATGTGCCGGAGGATATACGAATGGAAAAGGATTTCTTTCACCTTATCGAGGTTATATATATTGGTTAAAGGATTGGCGCAGAGATAATCCATCGCCTCGATGTAAAGAACAACTTTTCAACACGAGGCATGCTAGAGCTCGTAATGTAATTGAAAGGGCATTTGGTTTGTTGAAAGGATGTTGGGGAATTCTTAGAAGTTCTTCATGGTACTCGGTTAAGGTTCATAACAAGATCATTAATGCTTGTTGCTTGATTCATAATTTCATTCGTAGAGAGATGGAAGTGGATCCCTTAGACATTGATATAGAAGAAGAAATGGAGTATCAACACGAGAATATTGATGTTGTTGAATCGTCGGAGGAGTGGACCACTTGGAGGGATGAGTTGGCTCAATCAATGTGGAATGCAAGATTTAACAATTGACATATTGCTACATTTTGAACTATGTTGCTACTTGTTAGCTATAGAACCTTTTTGGACTTCATTTGCTCTTTAGAATTGGCTTAGTATAAATTGTTTAACTACCAGAAACTTCTATTTTTTTGTGACCTTAATTGCACACCCTTATGTACTCTTCACGTCTCTTTTGTTGTATGCCTTAGTTTATAGTGAATCTTATGATATTTGGTTCTTCATGATTTTTTTGATAATCCGTCGCATAAGTTCTTACAGGCAAAATGAATAGTCAAACATCATCAAATAAGAAATCAAAAAAATCAAGCAACACAATACCATCAACACGAAGGAATGGATTTCAGAAGAAGAACAAACTCTTTTAGACAGGCGTAAAGAGTTGTGTGCTAATGGTTGGAGAGGTGATAATGGAACCTTTAGACCAGGGCACTTGATGGAGTTAGAGCGTTATATACACAAATATCATCTTAGAAGTGGATTTCAAGGTGAACCACACATCAAAAATAAAATGAGATATTGGAAAAGATGCTATGGAAGTATAGCTTTGTTGAAGACTAGAAGTGGTTTGAGATTTCAATATAGTGATGGAACTATAATAGTTGACGATCCAAAACATTGGATTGACTTTATAAAGGTAATTAATATATTTTTGTTATTTCATATGGTACTTTCCTTATTAGTTACTTTAATTATTCATAGTTGATGTGCCTTTAAACTAGTGATCAAGTAAATTGTTATCATCACATATATAGTAGCATCTAGCCTCTCTTTAGATCCTTTTACAATTAATTAATATCATATTGTTCTATTTATTTTTTAATTTTCTAGATTGATCCACAAGCCAAGAAAATGAAAACTAAGAAATGGCCATTGTTTGAGGATTGGGAAGAAATCATGAGAGTTCGCTGAAGGGCCACTAGATGCTACTGAAGAAATTCAAAAGAGTCAAGCTCCACAACATTCTAATGACATGAGTTTGGGATTTTCTATTGATGTTGATCTTGATGATGATGAAGAAGAAGAAGAAAATGCTTACCATAGCTCTAAAGTTGGTACTGAAAAAGCTGAAAATGTTACTGGACAAGGTGGATTTGCTACAACTGAAGATTTCATCAAACCTAGTTCATTTACTGGAGCTGAAAATGACACTGGACCTAGCGTATTTAATGAAGGAGAAAATGTTGTTGGTTCTAAAAATGAACATGCTGGATCACGAAAAAGTCATAAACAATGTGAGTATTCTAAAAGATCATCTTCTAATGTTAACGACAAAGAGAAAAGCAAGAAAAGGAAAAAAATAGTAGAGGATGATAGTGAGACATTTCTTAAGGGTATGATGGAAGTTATGAAAAACTTTATTGAAAGTCAAGACAAAAAAATTGGTTCCTTGATTGAAAAGATGGGGAATCGTGATGATCTAATGTTCGTGGTCAAGTTTATTCTATCCTTGAATCCCATGTATTTGAGTTGTACACCACATATAAAAGCTACAATGATTCTCTGTAAAGACGACAAAAAGATGGAATTATTTTTACGTATGGGTGAACCTGATCGTCAGACAATGATGTGAATGGTTGTCCATGATAAACTTTGAAGTACGGTGAACTTGTGATATAAGTGGCTACACTAGTTTAGTAATTTTTGCTTGAAATCACTTCAAAGTGTGACAATAGTGAAATTTTTCGACACCTCCGATTATTAATGTACGCATGAGCATGTTAAATCTTTTTGTGTAACTAAGTTTTATCAAAATATCTCAACTCTTGTGTCAATGCTAAGTGTAGATGTAATTATATAATTGTCATTACAACTCTTCAAATTCTCGTGTAGCCATTTAATTTTGAGATTCTGAAATGCAATTATATAGCTGCTATGACAGTTCTTTAATATGTCTTGTATTTCTATGTCTGGTCTCTGTTTTCATTGTTAATTTCTCTATGAGTTCATGAATGTGTGATGGAAGAGGCGAAGAAGTTCGCTTTTATTTGTTCATTATTTAATTGGAAATTATGTTCCCAGGAAGGAAAATATGTACGCCAAGCTAGTTGAGCCAAAATTGAGGTTGAGCTTAGCAAGATATGTGATCGAATTTTGAGCCTTCTTGAGTCCCATTACCTACTGTGTTTGAACCATGCATCAGCTGGTCATCGGGGATTGCTCGTTTATAAATAAAAAGTTAGTTAACACTCGTTTAATTGGTGTTACAGGAAGTGTAGGTAAAACCACTACAAAGACTATGGTAGCATTAGCTTTGGAGAGTGCTGGAACAATTTACTATAGTCTAGGGAACTGGAATAATGAGATTAGGGTTGTGTTATCGCTTATTGAGATGTCGAGGGATGTTGGGTTTGGGGTTTTGGAGATGGGGATGAGCAAGAAAGGAGAAATCTTGGAGCTGTTCAGGATGTGTAGACCAGATGTAATGGTGATTTTGAATGTGAATGCTGCACATTTGGAGAACTTTGCGAACTTGGAGGAGGTTTCTGTGGCGAAATGGGAGATTTTAAGATAAGCAATGCCAAAGGATGTGTGTGTATTGAATGATGATAATCCCCTTGTCATGAGCCTCCCAGTTCCAGTTGGAGTTAAAAAGGTGATTGTTTTTATTTTTTTAAAATTGTTCAGTTATTGATGTAAATTGTATATATTTGTGTGTTCCTTATCTGGGAGGGCTTTTACAAGCAGGTCTTCATCTTTTGTCTCTTTGGTGTGACTTAGATGTTATTAATTAGATATAAAGTGCGACTTTTCATAGCTAATAAAGAAGAGGCTTTTGTAATTCTTACATCTGTTGTTAGCGCTACACTCTTGACACTATTCTTTGAACAAAATGAACTTTACTTTCTTAAAACATATATGTTATGTAATTTCAATGTGCAAGGTCAGTACTACCACATTTTAAAGAACTTGGGTTGACGAAATATTCTTAGAAATTGTCTCATCAAGGAAATACCTTTCTTCATTTAGGCTATTTTAGTCTGAGACACAAATAACTTGCGTTATTCATTACAACAATTGATCACTGTTATTTACTAGTATTTACAATTCTATTTATTTGACATGTTGGTAAATATTCAAGGTTAAATTCATAATCTCCAGTCCTGGTTTGCATTTGGCCATTAATGCATGTGCAGCTGCTGTTGTCGATAGTGTTTTTGGCATTCCTCTAGCTCTTTATCCAGATTTATACATGTTCACCGAAGATCAAAGCTTGAAGTAACCGAGAATGGGATTATAATAATAAATGATGTTCACAATGCAAGTCCAGCTAGTACTCAAGCTGCAATTGACTTGTTAAGAAATATTGACTGCAAAGGTAAACGAGTTGCTATACTAGGGGACATGCTTGAACTTGGTCCAACAGAGTTCAAGTTCCACGAGTTGATGGTTCATAGCTGTTGTGATGCTCACTTTGACGTAGTTGCACTTGTTGGAAGAAAGTTTGTAAGTGCAGCTAGGAGTATAAACTTTGGGCCAGAGATAAAACTATTGTGAACTACTAATGCTCACCAGATGACTTCTAAAATTATCAATGATCTAATTAGTGGTGATTTCGTCCTTGTCAAAGGCAGTCGTAAAATAGGAATGGAGGTTATTGTCGATGCAATTAAGTCTATCCACTTTGGTGTCCTACTTTGCCATGCAATAATGAGCAAATGTGACTAATAGAAGATTCTGCAATGTGATCGTGCTAGAAAAAAAATAGTATGATGGTTCAACTTTGTTCGAGTTCTTTTTCAAGACCTCCGCATAGTTCAGGGCCAACAGCTGGCGATTATGCTAGCGTAAGGATAAATCATTAGCCATCTGTTATAGCCATACGAGTTGGCTTTCAGGTGACAAGCTCTTTGTAGTGCTTAAGCTGCTCGGTAGAAGCCCTTGCTAAAGATGCTTTCTTCAGTTCAGTATCATGACGAAAGAATATAAGGATTGAAAAACTTATAGTTGGTATATATGGATGATCTAAAACATATGAAGAATTTTGACCCCATTGATGAAATTTATTTTGGGAATCTACTAATAATGGAGCTGGCAAATTTCAATTTGAGTAGTCCTCGTACTCTTGTGGTGCTGTTACATTTTGATTATTCAGAAGAAATTCATCAAACGCCTCATTATCGTAATAATCCCAAGGAACACGTTAATTTGAGCATGTGAAGTATTGCTTCAAAGTATGTTGCTGGTAAACTTTAGTTTGGGAAATATGGTGGCAGAAATGTGAAGAAGTTTGACATCTTCTTCTTTTTCTTTTTTTTTAAAATCTTATTTCAATATAGTAACAACTATTTAATTTTATATTTGAAAAAAGAAGAAGAAGAATAGGAGTAAATAATGTTTTAGCAAAGAAATCTTTTTTGATGTTTTAGCAAAGAACCTTGTTGCAAATGAAGTGTACAAAGAAATAAAGTGTGAAGGGTATTTTTGTGCAAGATTTGTTAATAGAATTTATGCAAGATTTGTTATTTCTAATACATGAAACCAAACAGTGTATAAGAAATAAAGCAGACATAACTAATGCAAACATTACTGATGCAAGCACTACTAATGCAATCATTACTAATACACCCTATTTTGCATTGTTCTTATACACTCTACCAAACGATAATGTTTTATTAGGTGACGTTTAATTTTTTTCTATTATAACTTCCAAGTTATTGTCTTATTTTTTATCATAATCCTTTGTTATTGTTAGTTTGTTACAAATAATCCTTTTTGTTATTGTTAATTTGTTACAAATAGTTGTATCACATTATTATACTTAGGGATAAGGGTCCGAAAAATATCTCAACTTTGGTCGAATTTGTTGTTGCGATACTAAACTTTCATGAGGACCTATTACCTCCCTAGACTATTTAATACCGTATTTTAAACATATAAATTTGCCCACGTGGACATAAAAAATAATGCAAAATTATAAATAGTAATGTGTCCACGTGGCACATATATACCTTTAAAATACACTATTAAATAGTTTAGGGGGTAAAAAATACGGTATTAAATAGTCTAAG